CTAAAATACCTTTTAAGCTGTTTTGAAGTGTTTGAGTAAAGTTAAAAAGTACTTATATGCACTTATTTTAAAGCTAAAATAATAAAAATAACCCAAAAAAACATAAGTTAGATTTCTAACTTATGGTCTTTTACTTATAAGTCATAAGCCAAAAGTCAATCCAAACATGCCCTAAGTATTCTTTGATCACTACAGAGTTATTGATGGGTTTTAAAAAGTCTGAACAAGAAAAAAAGGGTTGTGACTCTTTTAAAGGATTGTGATTTTGCCGAAAGGATGTGACCTTTATAAATGGTTCTGTCTTTTCTAATAAGTGTTGTGACCGTTTGAAATGTTGTGCCTTTTCCAACGAATTATGACCTTATCTTTTTTACAAAGAGTTGTGACCTTTAACCTTTGTTGGCTATGCATATAGAGACTCTCTCTCATTTTCTGCATCGAATTCTTCCCATCATTTGCGTACACTTCTTACAAAACAAAATCGATCGGTTGTGTCTATGTATGAGATTCATTACTGTCTTTTTGAGTTCGTTGAAATTATCGAAGTTTGAGGTACAACTACCTTTAATGGTTAATCCGTTTTATCTTTGAAAAAATTAATTTGCAACCTCGGGTACATGAGGGGATTAAATTTCTTAAGGACATATGGTGGATTCTGTGGACTCGGATATTTCTTTATTCTTTTTTTTTCATATTTTATTATTTGTAGTTTGCTAATCTGAATAGAGGAGATAACAAGCTTAGGAAATTTATACTGTTGATATTTTTGTGGTAAGAAGATTATTTCTGTGTTCTTTTTATTGGGAAAAAAGAAGAAGAAAAAGCATATTATTTTATCATGTAAAAGAGATTTGGCGTGAATTAGTACTATTTTCTTTCCAAGTGCATTTTAATTATTTTGTGCATAAAGAATAAGATGTGCACTTTAATTATTTTTCTTATATTCTTGGATTTATATGAGAATGAGAAGAAGTAAATGAACATATATTGTCTCCTAACAATATTTGAACATGAGTTCAGTTTCTCGTTGAAATTCAATGTCTTCTTTTGAGGAAAATTAGAATATGATGGGAAAAAAAATATTAGCAAGAAAAGTGACTTGTGACAGATAGAACATGATTCAGCGAGAGTAAAAGTCAAGTTCGAAAGGACTCAACCAATTCGCTTAACCAGAAACAAAAACTTTCCAACAAGAACCAGTGGAAAATTGATGTTACAAAACATGATTTTTCAACTCATATACCACGAAACTGACCCAGTAAAAAATGCATGATGAAAAACAATCAAACAGATTCCAATTGGAACTCTTGAATTTTTTTAAATTTTCCAGGTGAAAACACTACTTTATATGTTTTCTTTTCTCGCTAGTTCACTCAAATATCTGTAAAAATAACTGTGGAAAATTTATCAGTGGAAAATTTCAATGGGAAAATAGTAATTTTTTGGTAGCAGTGGAATAGTATAGCTTGTTTTCCTTATTTTCTTAAGGGTACTCATTTTCCTTATTTTTGAAAAGCTTAGTTGCGTAGAAAAAATATAGTTTCAAAGTATTTAACCACTCAAACATGAAAATTTAACAATTAAATTGATATATGTATTTAATACCTATAAAATTAATATTCATATTATTTATATTTTTATAACTCTATTCAACAACCAAACAATAGCTAGGAATTAGGAGCTCAAATCTTGCATTGAAACAGTGAAAGAAATGATAGTTATGTTTTTTCAAAAAAATAAAATAACAAACACCATAAAAATTACATATAACAACATAGTTGTATATCCGGAGTATATCACGAGTATATAAAATGTAAAAGTTACATAAATTTTATGGTGTTAAGAGTTAATTAAATCATATTTCTATTCTTTTTCAAATTATAAAAATCTCTTAAAATTTAAGAATTTTAGATACATTATTTAATATCTCAATATATTATCTTTGTTGAAACAAGACACATCACTCAACGTCCTGATCCATTGCCTTTGTTGATACTAGACACGCTTGTCCCGATACATTGTAAGAGTGATGTATCCAAGAATAGGAGAGAGAGTGGGGAAATATGAATTTTTGTGTTTTTTTTAAATGACAGGTAATTTTAGAATGTATTGTAAAATAATTTGTGCATTTAGGTATTTTTCCAATAATTAGTTTTACTTATGATATAATTTTAAACGTATGATTTATGTATATCATGTGTATATTTTATCGTAATTGTATATGGTTTGTTAGAATTATTTTGCTATTTCCCAAAAAATGGTTCGTCCATTTAAAAATGAATAATTAGAAGTCAAATTATTTTGTATTTGTAATATATAGGAAACCCCCCCCCCCCCCCCCCTTTATGTTGGTTATTTTTTTTTTCATTTTGCTGTATATATTAATACTTGATACCCATTATTGATAAAATTTAACTTAATTTGAAATTCCTTTGTATGCCAAACATTGGTGTAATTCTTGCCACTGAAAAAGGAAAATGTTAGTAAAATTAGAAATTGATAGCACAATAATTTCTAAAAATTTCCATGTGTGAACTAATAATTACAATCAAAACGAGATAAGATGACAATAATAATAATTTCACCACAAAAGTGGAAAAAGTACTTTTAAGATTTGTAAAAATTAAAGTATTTATGTTCAAACTAAAGCAAAAAAATAAATAATTAGCAATATCAGAAAATTCCAAAAAAAAATAAATTCAAATTAAACTTCAATGATGAGTATCATAATAAAAATTAAATTTTTTCATAATTGTAAAAATAATTTCTTATATTTATTTATTTTCTTATTGAACACCATTAAGTCATGCACTCAATCAATAATTCTCTTTCTTTTTGTTTTGTTCTCAAAATAATTTCTTTCTATAGGAATTTGTTATATTGATTTTCTTAAAAAAGGAAAAATATCTTGATTTAAAAAGAATAAAAACAAAGGTTGATATATACGCCTACAATAAGCATTTGAGGAGAAGGATTATTTTTTGAAGCAAAAATAATAGTGCAAGTGATTTTCACTATCAATAATTTCACCATAAAAGTGGAAAAGATACCTTTTTTAAAGATTTATAAAAAGTTCTTTTGTGCAAATAAAGGTAAAAACATCACTAATTAGCAATACTAGAAAATGTTATACACAGTGACAATCTCATCTAAAAATTTATGTTGTCAGAGAGAATATACTTTTATTAGTTAATTTCATTGTTAATATGTCACCTTAGGTGCAGTCCTGATTTCTTTTCACAGACTAGACTAAACATGTGGAATTTTTTTTTTTGATATTTCGATCAGAACACCTGTGTTTGCTTTGATACCATGTTGAAGTGTCTGACTTATCTTATTTAAAAGCGCAAGCTAGTAAAGAGAGTGCAATTTTTATTAGTTAATTAGGAAAGGGATGATTCATTCGGATCGACATGAGAGTCCAACTACATTGCCAGAATCACAGCTCGGCTTGTTCTTCGAGCCCTACTTCTCCCTTCCCCCTTCCCCGTTCCTCGTCTTTCACGCACCAAACGGTGTGTGTCCTCTCCCCTTTTGGATTTGCCTGGGGTTAAGATAACTCAAGTGGAAGAGCCGTGTTATAGTGACCTTATTGCACACTCTCAACACAAAAATGTCCAAAATAAACCACAATAATGATCAATTATATCATTGATAACTTCATGTATTTTTTTTAAAGGAACATTCAAAAAGTGACTCAAGAAAGTTGGACAGTAGATTGACCCAATACAGAAGGATGTCATTGTCAAATGAAACTAACATTGCTTTGAGCATTTTTGTTTGGACTCTACGAGTTTAGAAAGTAATTTGGTTGTGTTCTTATTTTTTTACTATTATCTAAACCAAAATGAAAGTGTTGACAACTATATATGAGAAAATGGCTATAAATAGTTTGGTAACTTGCTTTTTTTTTTTCTTTTCTTTCATAGAAATGGTCCATCACATAGTTTGTACATTTTACATAAAGACATGACATTTTTGTGAAAGGCATATCATCATAATGTAATACTTTAGAAGGACTAAAGATTCGAATAGTGGGTCGATATAATCAACGGTGATAAAAATTACATACGAAGTAACATATTTAAGGTCATGTTTGCTCTTGTACTGTCTAATATCGAGCAACTTTGCCTTATTTTTAAAACTTGAGATCAAATTTTATTGTTTTAGAAAAGAAAATGTTACTTGGACATTTTTTTCCTCAAAAGATTTTGGACACATGAAATTCAGAGTCCCCATATGACAAGAATAACAAGAGTTTATAGATGGTAACCTAATTCCACTAAGAATGTGACCATGCCCTAATTTTATTTTATTTTTGCATTACTTAGTTTTGCTCCTGAACTTATATTATTTAGTATATCATTTACCACGTTATAACAAATAAAAGATTTAGCGGTATTAATATAATTTTGCTATATTATATTTAGCGGTAATAACAAATATAAATATTTAAATTAAAAGTTTATTAAATGCTGCTAAAGACTTTAACTACTTTAGATACAATGTCATTAATTTCGTCAATGATCCTTCATTAGATTGCTCGTAGCTAACAAACCCTTTTGATTACCTTCACAAATTCATCAATAAAAAGGAAAAAAGGACAAACATACCTCTAAACCATCGTAAATGGTATGAAGATACTGTCCGTTATAGTTTTGAAACATTGGTGCCCTGCTATCCAAAAACTAGAGCATATATGTCCTTCACTCAAACGGAAGACTAAATGAGGACACGTGGCACAATCTTATCCGTCGATTCAATATTTAATAAATGTCGATCGGTGGATAAGATTATGACACGTATATGTCTGTTAGTATAAAGGGTATATATTCTCTAGATTTTGGACGACAGGGGCATGAATGTCCCAAAAACATGACGAAGGGTATCTGCATAATATTTTCGATAGTACAAGAGTATATTTATCCTTTTTCCCATAGAAAAAATTAGCAATAAATTTTGATTTTTAGGTATAGAATTTGTTCATCTACACCAACATCTTCTTTTCTACTAGTGACTTTAGCTCACTCTCACACCAAAAGTCCAAAACACACCTATATAAAGCACAACATATATTAGACACACACACACATAGGAGAAGAGTAAAAAAGAAAGAAATCTAGAGAGAGAGATCTAGAGAGAGAAAGAGAGAATGCGTATGATATATGTGTGTGAAGAAGAAGAAAAAGAAGTAGGAAGGAAGAAAGCATCAGGGGCATGTCCATATTGTGGAGGGACAGTGGAGGCTGTGGATATTGAAGGCAAAGGCAAGCTTTTTTGTTTGCCTATTTGTTTGAGGTTTAAAATAAAGTATATTTGTTCTTTATGTTCTAGGCGACTTGTTTTGTACCCTTAAATTATTCGATCGAATCAGTATTCAGACTTCTAGCTTGTTTCTTTGGCATTGATGTTGCTTCAAACATAATTAATATTTGGACTTCTAGCTTTGCACTTTTGGTCAAATTAGTATTCAAACTTTTAGCTTTGCACGACTTTCATCGTCTATTGTTTTTCATGCATTGTAAAATAAATGTATTTTTCATACCTTTAGAAGAAAGGTATTTTTCATTACTCGAACAATAGAAATCAAACATGGTCAAATTTTGTAAAATAGTAAAATTAGTTGCTCATTCTATTAAAAAAGTATGTTAATATGAGCAATGTAATGATAGTCTAGCGATTAAACTTGTTAACTACTTCCCCGCTTCTTTTTACTTGTCATGTCATGTATATTAAATATACTTGTTTCAAAATAAAGAGAATTGATGATTTATTTTTCAAATTTTGCCCTTAACATTAAGAGACATATATATAGATAAAAGATTAGAAAATCTAACAAGAATATACTGACCAAACAACACTCCTTTTTTTTTTCTTAAAAATCATGTTAAATTTATCACGACAACTAAAAAGAAATGAAGAGAGTTAGCTAATTTTTTTGTTTAAACAAGTAGATAATTCTAGTAAAAAAAAATTACTTGTTTAATTGTCATGTATAAATTTTTAAAAGGCAATAGATAATTTTAGTCCCAAAAAAAATGGCAAATAGATAATTCCTATAATTGTATCTCTCTTTCTTCATTTATTTTTTCTCAACAGACCTTAGATATTTTTCCCAACAACCAATTAACTTATTAAATTGCAATATCTTTAACTACGAAAGGTAAGACATAAAAAGAAAAATGAGCTTAGTATAACACGAAATATAAACCTAATCTTAATAGAAGAATACTTATTATCAAGCAATCATAAAAATAGAAGAACTAAGTTCAGATCAAGTGATAAAACTCTTTATAAGTTGGGCTATATAAAAAATTCTAGCATATTTTTTCACAATTTATTTCACATTATATATCGTGTATATCATTTTATAATTGTAAACTTATGAAAGGTTTTTAATTTATTGCACTTGGCTATAAGTTGCCAAGTTTTGGGACTAAAAATACAAGTATGTCATTGTTCTTGTCAATAATACTAAAAATGGTTATTTTTTAACGATCATTCACTCGAATTTGAAAATTTATAAATAAAAGCTTAATATACGACAGAAAAATTTAATTCTTTCTCTTTAGTGATAAGTAGGAACTTAAGTTAATTCAAATTGCTATCCTATCTATCATGACAAGAAATCAAAATCATGTTTCATTGAACTAGGACATAAAAGTTTCAAAGTTCGAAATAAATAGACATCAACAAAATTAATTTCGTTGTTAAAGGAAATTTAAAATGTCTAAATGTACCATGTTGTATTTTGTTTTTTAAATATAGAGGCCAAAAGAAAAGGAAGACACCCACATAGCAACATGTGGCAAATGGCAAACATATCATATTCCAATTATTATTGAATTTAAGTTATATATGCATGATTAGTGTGAAAAATAATTACATCATCAAATTATCCAAGTATATCGATAGGGAAAATTTCTTTAAGAATAAAATAGATTATCTAATGACTAATGAGCATATAAAAACTCTCCACACTAATGTATTTAACTTAATTTTTGTTTGTATAGTTAAAATATTACGTCGTTTGCATAAGTAACTATCTTGTTATTTCATTAGAATAAATTGTTCACATCACACTTCTTGAAATATGACTCCTCCACAAATTCTATTTACACAAAATGCTTTATGTATTGAGTTATCCGTATTTCAAGTACTTCAACATAAACTATTTGATTCAAACTTTGACTAAATATCAAAATTCCAAATGGTTAACACTAGTTGACGATTCAGAAATCAAAGACTCTTGAGCAATTTATACAAGCATCAAGTTATTCATTTGTTTTCCGCTCAATATTTGATGTCCATATTGAAATTTGATTATTTTATATTCGCGTCACGTAAGGCTCCATTAGGAGGGATTTATCAAAAAAAATCATTTCTAAAATTCAAACAAAAAACTTCTGATTAGAAAAGAGACAGTCCTAATAACTCATTTCTCAGCGCCATGTAGGGCCCCATAATTAGGAGGGACATTGCTCCTTATAAAAAACTTTCATTTTCAAAATTCAAATTAAAGACTTCTGATTAGAAAAGAAACAATACTATATATATATATATATAAAAGTTACTAAAGATAAAAGCAATTGGAAAAAACTTCATTTGGACCAATAATCTTTTGTCTTTTGTAGAATTGATTCGACACTGACTAACCATGAATGAATGAGGAAATGAACACTCATTTCTCACCGTAGATTTGCATGCATCCACTCATAAAGCACAAAGATAAAAGCTTGTTTGGAAGACAAAATAACTTTTATACAATTTTATGATTATCGAATAAATTACAAGTTCAAATTTCTTACAAATTACTTCCTTCATTTTATTTTATGTGGCATTCTTTTCTTTTTAGTCCATCTCAAAAAGAATGTTACGATCTTACTGTAATTAGAGTCCATTCAGATTAATTTAAAAGAAATTAATTTTTACATCAAAACAAAAAGTTAAACTTAAATGATTTTTAAGTCAAAACATAAAAGGTAGAGGATACCTATTTTTAGTTTTTAACATATTTGAAGTTATTTTTAACCTTGCGAAACACTTCCTAACTTATTTTATGTTATTTTTACTTTACTATCTTACTTATTTAAAGTTATTTTTACCTTTGTCAAACACTTTCACAAGTCAAAATCCGACTTAAAAATAGGTTTGATCAACTTCTAAAACAATTCAAATACCCTCTTAGGAACAATTTAACATTACAATACCTCTTGTACCCTTAATGAGATGCTTTTCAACCATACATATATTTAAAAATTATTTGGATCACGAATTTTAAAAGTCTTCTTTTTTAAAAAAAAATCGTATCAAGTCAAATAATGTCCATAAAATAATATAGAGGACTCCCTTCGAAGTGGTCCAGTGATCTGGGCTTGGGACTTCCATATTGGAGGTATCAAGTTCGAAACTAATTGCCAATGAAAGCAGGGAGTTTTCTTCTGGTCGAGCTCGTCTCACCGGGCTTGCCTAGTGCGGATTACCTCTCTCCTTTGTGAGCTATTACATAAGAACTGAGATTTTACCCTGTGCACACCTAAAGAATAAAAATTGCGACTTTTTCTTGTCATTCGAAAAAAAAACAGACGTATGACTTTTGACTTATCAATCCAAACAGACTACAAGGTGTTGGTAGATGACAACCTGGCTAAGGGGTCGTTTGGTACAAAGATGCATAATGCAAGGATTAGTAATGCATGAATTAGTAATGCATGGATTAATAATGCAGGGTTGTAATGACCCGAAAGGTCAGTTTTGGAAATTTTGAATATTTATTTAATTAAGAATAAATTAATTGATGATTAATTAAAAAATAACTAATTGTAATTAATAATTATGGTTAAGTTTATAATTTATTTTTTTTACCATATACCAATTACCCTTATAGGAAATAAATTATTAGGGTTAGAGAGTTTTTAGTTTAAAAACTTTAAGAAAAGAAAAAAAAGGAGACATACCTGCGTATAGCGATGATTGGCGTGGAACTGCAATTCACGATCAGGTAATATTCATGAATTTTTCATTCATTATGCAATTGAAAATATTGAGGTCAAATGTAGTACAAGTATAATAATCATTATAATAATGTGTGAGAATGAGTAAGGAATCAAATTGCTAACTTTATTAATTATATTATTATTTGTAAGTTACAGTGGATTAGAATTGAAATTGTGCCAACTTGAACGTGATTTATATATATATATATATATATATATATATATATATATATCACCAGTGGTAATATCAATAACGATCAAATTTTGAGGGTAATTATCGATCAGTAATTGGATAATTAATTGTTGAGGGATAGTTTCTAAGAATATAACCTGTGTCAATTTGAGTTCTGAAAAATTTTGGGTTTTCTTGTAAACTAAAATATTATGTCCATAATTTGGATTTTTAGTGTTTCTTTAATTCTTTGTTATAATTGTTACATATAATTTAAGTTTTGATATATTGAGATAGGTAAATAAATATAAAATGTAATATATTTTGTGAATAGAATTAGACTTGTGATATTTGAGGAATTAAGACTTAACCCTAAACTTGAATATCGGAGAAAAGTTAAAAGAGTTGACATGTCAAATGACATCAAAAGTTAAGAACTTGATTATAAATTTGTGCTCTATGATTTTTGGTCTATGTTAGACACATAGTGATATGGATGTTGTTAGGTTTAAAATCTTATTGTGATCGTTAATAGGAATAGATTGTATTGGTTTGGAAGTACAACGAAAGGAAAAGGCTCAAGTTTCAGAGTGATTAATCGACTATTTGAGGCAAGTGGATTTCTAAACTCTTGTTAAGTGTATGAAATGTGTGTATGTCCTTGTGGTATATGTCGAGAGAAACGGGATTGGTGATGGGTTGACTTGTCCACATTGATTAATTCTAATGATGAAAAGAATGGGGATAACAAAAGGCAATGTGATTAATTGTTTATGTCTGTTGTGTTGAGAAAGGGTTGAAGGCTTGTTGAATAATAATGGGTACTTAAGAGGATGTGCCATTT